TGCGCTGTCCCCGAGCCGCTCCCGGGGCCACGGCAGCTCCTAAATATTCATCTCCAGCCCGTTTTTCCCGGTAGGATCAGCAATAAACCCGCACACGGAGCTCGGCAGTCACGGCCCATCAACCCCTCGAGCCTCAGAGAGCTCAGCTCTTATTTAATATCAAATTAATCCCATTCCCAGCTCGAGGCCGACGCCTCGGCTGCTGATCAAACACCACTTCCAAGAGGAAGGATCCGGCGCCCCAGGAAAATCCAATACGGGCTCGTTAACACAATAAAGGGGGGGGTGGGATATAGATTTGCCACTATTTTTGATAAATATAACGTGCTTTCGGTTTATAAGGTGCTCCAGGGCTTTCCCTGGATGCTCGGGATGGGAAAAGTCCCCTTTTCCAGCATCCTGGCAAAATCCATCACCGGGAAACGGCATCCAAGCCCCTTCCCCTGCCCAGGCAGGAGTGGCCTGGGAAATCAGATGGCTCTAATTAATGACTCCCCAAATAAAGATTGATGGGAAAGGTTAATGCAGGGCCTCGTTCCTGCTTTATTAATACAAATCTTGGCGTCCGAAATTCGGCCACCGCTGCCCTTGCCAAGGAATGATGGATTTTAGAGGGGCTGCCACTTGGTCATTAATTATGGTTTTAGGACTGGGACGGCCTCTGGCTTTGCAAGGAGAGAAACTGCAGCTCAAATGCAGATTAAAGGGCGCGTTGGAACGTCTGGGGTTCCTTCTGGGGGACCTGAGATCCCAGCGCTGCATCCCAAGGGAGCTTTTCCACCCCCCATCCCACACAGCAGCCGGAGGTGAAGCTCCCAGGGAGCTCCTCGGGGCTGTGCCAACCTCACGGGCTCCTGGTGGTGCTCCTGGAGCTGTGGAGCCAACCAGGAGATCAGCATCCATTGGAATGCAGCTGAGGGATGGAGGGATGGAGGGATGGAGGGAGGGGTGGAGGGATGGATGGATGGGTGGAGGGATGGATGGGTGGATGGATGGTGGATGGATGCATGGATGGATGGATGCATGGATGGATGGGTGGGTGGATGGAGGGATGGATGGATGGGTGGATGGATGGAGGGATGGATGGAGGGAGGGATGGATGGAGGGACAGATGGGTGGATGGATGGATGCATGGATGCATGGATGGATGGATGGATGGATGCAGCACGGAATCAGTGCCCCCCCAGAGCCACAGCCCCGCCCTGCTCAGTCCCAGCTCTCCCCAGCAGCCTCAGGGGACATTCCCAGGGTACCAGCAGTGCTGTCCCACCAGTCCCAATCCTGCATCCCACCCAAACAAGCTGCCTGGACCATGGGGAATCTCAGATCTGACCCCGAGCAGCCAGGTGGGATCTGCTCCCACCACCCACCTCTGGCCAGGGATCCCACCATTCCCAGCTCCAGGAGAAAGGCAGGGATTGTGCTCCCACTCTCCCAGGGGACAAAAAGAGGGGAAATCCCAAGATGGAACCGTTTGACCCAGCAGAGACAGGGACCACTGTGCTGAGCAGGATGCAGGGAGCCATCTGCCATCCTGGGTGGAGATTCCTGCCCCCAAATCCTCCAGGAATTCAGGGAGATTTGGTCCCCTCCACTGCCTGGAGCTCCTGCATCCCTCAGGCTCTGCCTGTCCCCTCCCTGTCCCCAGGGCTGATGTCACCCGTCGGAAAACACACTCCAGGAGCACGGTGCCAGCAAGGCACGGACCCACCCCAGCTGGCAGTGCCAAGGATCCCAAACCTCCACCTCCAGCAGGGCAGGAACAGCCACTGCAGCATCTCTGCAACGCCAGAGGGATGAAGCAGCAGCTCCCCCGGGAGCAGCGGGATGATGGATGGAGTTAAATGGAGCACCGGGAAAGACAAACATTCCACGCCCGGAGAGCAGCAAAACTCCCTCCTGCAGGGACCCAAAGGGCCACCAACCACGTGTCACCAGCAGTGCTGGCACCCCCATCACCCACCCTATTAGGGAGCAAATGGAGCAGGCGGCATCCCACAGCCCTCTGGATCCCACAGCCCTCTGGATCCCCCATCCCACAGCCCTCTGGATCCCACAGCCCTCT